GCTGTGCTGGGGGCTTGCCCCAGGCCAGCACTGCCTCAGTTTCCCCAGTGCCGTGGCTTCACCTCACCCTCTTTTGGGGAGCCACCCTGCAATGCCCACAGCTCTGGTGCTGGATACGGGCATCCACATCCACCCCCATGGGATCCTTATAAAAAGAAGGGGGGAGAAAATGGTCCGGGGGGTCCAGCCCCTCTGCCCCCTTCTCCCACCCCACCTCGGGGAGGGGTTTCTGTGGGGCTGGGCTGGCAGAAGCCACTGCAGGGGTGGCTGTCCCCGCCGCTGTCACCCCAGGTGCGGTGGCACCGCAAGAGTGGGCTGCTGGCACCATCTAGTGGGGGTGGGACCCCCCAGAACAGCGGAACACGGCCCCTCGTGTCTCATCTTGGTGGTCCAGGGTCCCGCTTTGGGACAGATGCCCTCTGGCTACCCCCTTCCTGCATCCACTCTGGGGATGCTGAACCAGCGTGGGGACTGTGGGGATGCGGGACGGGACCCTGTGTGTCCTTAACTCTCTCTGTTAAGGATTATGGGGCTGGTAGCCTGTCCCCTTGGCATCTCATGGCCTGGGGAGCGGGACGGGATGCGGAGCCATGTGCGACACCCACCTTTGAACCAAACCTATAGGGACCCTCCCATCATCCCTCCATCCCCCTCCTGCCCCACACCGGGGTGGGGGTAACCCTGACCCTGCTACGTGTGTCCCCCCCTAGATCACCCCAAGTCCTATCCCCCCCCCAAATCCTGGCTGTGTGCAGGGCTGGGGTGATGTGGAAGGCAGCGACCCACAGCCAGCCCCCAGTGTGCCTGTCCCCACTCAGGACTGGCGGCTGTGGGGCCATGGGGATGTGGGAGGAGGAGGTTAGGCCAGGCTTTCCTTCCTGGCCAGCGCCGCGCTGCCTATTACATCAACTCTGGTATTTCCAGTCCCTGCGGGGAGAAGGGAGGAGCACGGGCGGGAGCAGGGGGAGCAAGGAAAAGCAAAGCAATATTGGGGGATGCAGGGAATTGGGGGGTCCCACGGGGGGGATTCAGACCCTCCAGTAAGGCCCGGTGCTGGGATCCCCCATGGTCAGGCTGGCCTTGGCCTCTGGACTCATCCTGGCTCCATCCCCAGCTTCGGGGCTGGGAATGAAAGCGGCAGGAGGGGGGGAAAAGGGGAAAAGGAAAAATCTACACGTGGAAAACACACGTCCCTACGGCCGGGACTTAAAGCAACAGGAAAGTGCCGGGCGGCACAAGGGCAGCTCCAGGGACAGGGGAGTGGCAGGGGTTGGGTTGTCCGCTCTGGCTTTTGGGGTGCTGCCTCAGTTTCCCCAGGGTGGAAGATGGAGGGAAGGATGCTGGGATGCTTTTTCCCAGTCCCATTTCTGCCCCAAAATATCCCCCTATGGATGCCAGGCTGGGGTCGTGGAGCTGGAAGAAGGTGGGAGGGGGGATTCAGGGGGTCCCCGGGGAGGACGAGGAGGCGAGGCCCCGGTGCTCTGTTTGCACAGGCCTGCCAGTTGGTGATGCGGAGGAGCGAGCCAAGGCGATTGCCCCAGTGTGGTGATACATTTGGGGTTTGCATGGGCCAGATCCAGCTCGCAGCAGGGTTGGGGACCCCCCGGATTTGCTCTTTAGGTCCCTCCTTTTTGTTTAATATTTCCAGCCCCAAGTTACCAACTGATGTCTGCTTTTATTCCGCCCTGGAGTTTGCTAAAAACGTTTTGTGCAGGATCCATCCTCATGTGGTCTACAATATCAAGGGAAAAAAAAAAA